TTCACAAGGCAATACCGCAAACACTTCAGATGATGGAGATGCTTTATGTTGTGAAGCGTCAACCACCGTGGAAGGCAGAAAGAGATATGCAGATATATGGCTCATTGATTCGGGAGCAACATATCACATGACCTTAAGAAGAGAATGGTTCCATCATTATGAACCTGTCTCAGAAGGATCTGTGTATAGTTGCAATGATCATGCCTTAGAGATTGTTGGCGTGAGAACCATCAAATTAAAGATGTATTATGGAATAATTAAAGTTGTTCGAGATGTGCGACACGTGAAAGGTCTGAAGAAAAATTTATTATCCTACGGATTGTTGGATAATAATGCTAGCAAGATTTGAAACACATAAATGAATCATGAAGGTGTTTCGTGGAGCGCTTATGGTGCTGAAAGGCGAAAAGATAACAACAAACTTGTACATGTTGAAGGGATGGGACTTTGCTAGAAGCAGAATCCTCATGTAGTTCAGATTCTGCAATGCTATGGCATCAGAAACTTGGACACATGTCTGAACAAGGAATGAAAGTCCTTGTAGAGCAAAAGCTACTTCCAGGCTTAACAAAGGTATCACTTACTTTGTGTGAGCATTGAATAACAAGTAAGCAGCACCGGTTGAAATTCAACACATCAAATTCTAGAGGCAAAAGTGTTCTAGAATTGGTTCATTCTGACGTATGGCAAGCACCAGTTACATCCCTAGGCGGAGCAAAATACTTTGTCTCATTTATTAATGACTACTCCAGGAGATCTTGGGTGTACCCTATTAAGAAGAAGTCGGGCGTGTTTTTAACTTTCAAAAACTTCAAAGCGCGGGTGGAACTTGATTCTAAAAATAAGATCAAGTGTTTCAGAATAAATAATAGAGGAGAATACACAAGTGAAGAATTTGATGGCTTTTGCTAAAAGAATACATCAAAAGACAGTTCACAGTGGAGAATACTCCTCAACAAAATGGAGTGGCAGAACAGATGAACAGGACCTTGTTAGAAAGAACAAGAGCAATGTTGAGGGATGTAGGCTTAGAAAAATCATTCTGGGAAGAAGCAGTCAATACTGCCTGTTATTTGATGAATCGAGCTCCGTCAACTGCAATAGAGTTGAAGACACCAATGGTGACGTGGACTGGTAAACTAGTTGATTATTCAAACCTCCATGTATTTGGAAGTATTGTGTACGTGATATACAACTCCCAAGAAATCTCAAAGCTGGATCCAAAATCCAAGAAATGAAAATTCTTGGGGTATGCTGATGGAGTAAAGGGGTATCGCGTGTGTGATCCCACTGCCTGCAAAGTGATCATCAGCAGGGATATTATCTTTGTAGAAGATAAACTACAAAGAAAAGAAGACGATGATAGCGCTGAAAAGTTAGAGACTACTCAGATACATGTGGAAAAGGAGGTTGAACAAGGAGATTCTTCTGAAGCAGAACCAGCTCATGATAAACAAGAACCAGAGAGTTCTGAAGCTCCAACAACTCGTCAATCATATCGTGTGAAAAGACGTCCCAATTGGCACTCAGATTATGTTATAGAAGGTAATATTGTATATTATCTTTTAACAGGGGACGGTGAACCATCAACATACCAAGAGGCAATAAATAGCTCAGATGTTTCGCTATGGATGATGGCGATGCAAGAGGAAATTGAAACCCTTCATAAAAATAATACATGGGACCTTGTGCCACTACCACAAGGAAGGAAACCAATTAGTAACAAATGGGTCTTCAAAATCAAGCTAAATGGTGACGATCAAGTTGAGAGGTATCGTGCAAGACTGGGTGGTAAAAGGATATGCTCAAAAAGAATGTATTGATTTCAATGAAATATTTTCTCCTGTGATTCGACAAACAGTTCAAGTAGTCTTGCCAATGTGCGCTACATTGAATTTACATCTAGAGTAGCTAGATGTTAAAACATCTTTTCTTCATGGAAATCTTGAAGAATAGATTTATATGCTCCAGCCTGAAGGTTTTGAAGAAAAAGAAAAGAAGAACTTGGTTTGCAGGTTGAACAAATCTTTGTACGGTTTAAAGCAGGTGCCGAGGTGTTGGTATAAGAGATTTTATTCATTCATTCATTATGTGCCTTGGATACAACAGACTTAATGCAGACCCTTGTGCTTATTTCAAGAGGTCTGGTGATAACGATTTTGTTATATTGCTGTTGTATGTGGATGACATGTTGGTTGCAGGACCCAACAAATATCATATTGAAGAATTGAAGGCACAACTGGCTAGGGAATTTGAAATGAATGACTTGGGATCAGCAAATAAGATTCTAGGGATGCAAATTCACTGAGACAGAAGTAATAGGAAGATTTGGTTTTCACAAAAGAATTACTTGAAGAAGATCTTGTCAAAATTCAGCATGCAAGATTATAAGTCAATTTCTACCCCTCTTCCTATTAACTTCAAATTATCCTCTAGTATGAGTCCTAGCAGTGAAGAAGAGAGGATGGAGATGTCTCGAGTACCGTATGCATCAGTAATGGGAAGTTTAATGTTCGTTATGATATGCACAAGACCAGACATTGCACAAGCAGTGGGAGTGGTTAGTCGGTACATGGCGAATCCAGGAAAAGAGCATTGGAATATTGTAAAGAGGATCATGAGATACATCAAAGGGACCTCAAATGTTGCATTATGTTACGGAGGATCAAACTTACTAATCAATGGGTATTTAGATTCTGACTATGCAGGGGATTTGGATAAAAGCAAATCTACTACAAGATATGTGTTCAAAGTTGCTGTTGGAGCTGTAAGCTGGGTTTCAAAATTGCAGTAAGTTGTGGCTACATCCACAACTGAGGCAGAATATGTGGCACCTACACAAGCGAGTAAAGAAGCAATTTGGTTGAATATGATATTGGAGGAGCTTGGGCACAATCAAGAGTATGTCTCTCTGTTTTGTGACAGTCAAAGCGCCTTGCATCTAGCAAGGAATCCAACATTTCATTAAAGGACAAAACACATACGAGTTCAATACTATTTCATTCGTGAAAAGGTGGAAGAAGGAACGGTAGATATGCAGAAGATCCATACGAAAGATAACGTAGCAGATTTCATGACGAAGGTGATCAATGCGGATAAATTTACTTGGTGTCGATCCTCTTGTGGCCTCTCAGAAACGTAAGCAACATGAAAGTACAAGGTAGAAAGAATGGTGTGAAGATATGATTGTTTCAATCAAATCTTCAAGTGGGAGATTGTTGAAAAATCAACAATTGTATGCCACTTTCGGTGCACATGCAATTTCGGTGCAAGTGGAAACAATTAGCTGGAAAATATTGATTTTTATGGTAAGAGATAATTACAATTTAGTTATTGTAATTTAGGGTATTTACAAATTAGTCCTTAAGCTTCAACTATAAATACTCTTGTTCATTTAGCTTTAAAATCATCCCAAAGCATTCTAGCTTTCTTCCAATACTAGAGAATTTAGAGAGTTTCTTGAGAGTTGTTTTCTCCTTTTTATCAAGAGATAATTATCATTGTTTTCTCCTTGGTAGATCGAGAGAAGTTGTAATTCCTATTTTCTCATAGTGAAATTCTTCTACCGTTGTCCGTGGTTTTTACCCTATATTATTTAGGGATTTTCCACGTAAATTTTGTGTATTTTTTATCCTCATTTTTATTTTATCAAATTATCAGTTGTGGTTTTGCTCTTTTTGATAGTCGTCTTCTGCAACACGCCAATGCCATATTCTCTTGAATCAACAGGCAATACAAGCTCCTCATTTGCTTCTACTGTATTGCGACTGACGTCCTGCAGATTATATGCACGAAGCTTGTGGCCCAAACCAATACCCCTACCTTCATGCTCACGAATGTATACCAAAACACCCCTGCCAGAAGCCTCAATCTATTTTATGGCAAGGCTAAGCTGATTCTAACAGTCACATCTGGCAGATCCAAATATGTCGCCTGTGAGGCATTCCGAGTGAACCCTCACAAGAATATCTTGCCCATCTCCAATCTCGCCCTGTTTACAGCATAAAAAGGAATTATGTCACATTCTTCATAAATCATAATGAAGCCTTTTGACCTAAGAGAACCAAACGTCTAAAGGAGTATATAGAATAATGATATTTATATGGAAATAAAACAGAAAGTGAGATGAGAATAGATTAAAACATTCTGACTTGATTAAGCACATGAAAGAAAAATTAATAGGGTCTGTGCAGATGATATATGAAAGCGAAATTTCCTACAAGAATTTGCTATGTCCTCACCTTAACCATTGCTATATGCTCTATCCCATCTAGGGCTGTAAATGAGACGAGACAGATCGCGAGCTACTCGAGATCGACTCGGTCAAGAGTTGATAAATACTTGGATCGAATGAATTCGACTCGAGCTCGAGCTCGACTTGAATTCTTAACGAGCCGAAACGAGCTGCTTGATACTCGACTCAAAAAGCTCGTGAGCAACTCGAAAAATATAATATATTAAGATTTTATTTTTTTTAAAAATAAATTATTAATAATATTAACATTTATGTAGTGATTTTTTTTAAAAATACAGTAAGACTTTTATGTATTTAAGATTCAGGTTCGAGTTTGAGTTTGAGGCTTCAATCTAGTTAAGTTTAAGATTTTTTTTTCATTTCGATCCTTTTCGAGCTTCTCACGAGCTTCACTTCAAGATTTAATGTTCGACTCGAGCCTAAAAATTTTAAGCTCGCGAGTTTTCGAGTCGAGCTCATCAATACTCGAGCTCGACTCGGCTCGTTTACACCCCTAGTTCTAATCTGTCATAGTTGGTGACAAATTATTTTTCCTTTTATTGCTGGGATTCTTTACTCAAGTTTTGTTGTTTGATCCAAAAATGAGTCCTTTCGGACTAGACAACGCCTTAATTGCGTCACATTTGCAAACCAGATAAGCTATAGTGTTCTGAGGGCTTCATTATTACATGCACCACATGTAGCCTCTCCTTTTGATTTTATGTTACCGGTGAAGCCAAACGTAGTTCAGCAGCACAACATTCTTTGCAAATGGTTGCATGCTAGATATTTGAGTAATGCATCGATTGAGCTAAAAATGGATGAGGATGGTATCATATTTTCTTTTCATAAGCCACCGGGTAGACATGTTTCTACAAACAAAAAGAGGAAAATGTCTAAAAGGGCGAAAGTGAATGAATTGCGTTTCTATCGTCTAAAGGCTATGAAGACACTAGTTTTTTACATTTGGTTTTTTATATTTTATATTTTTATTTTTATTTTTATTATTATTATTATTATTTATTATTATTATTATTATTATTATTTATTATTAATTACAAGCCCAAATTGAAGGCCCAACCAGAACCAGCCCAGACCTAAAAGGAAACCCTAAACTAATTTAGAGTTTCAACTAGGGTTTCTAAACCCTAGCACTACTGCTGCTGTCGCCGCCTCCAGAAGTCCTCAGCCGCCGCCGTTGATTCCAGAAGGCCACACGTCCGTTGCCGACGCTTCAGTGCTGCCACCGCTTCAACAGAACACTCCAGAAGATCCAGCTGCCCCTCCACGCTACAACTCTATGGTGAGTCACCACCATAATCTGGTGACTCACCAAAGAGCCCCTTTTGGATCGGTCCGAGGAGCCTCTCGACGAGGCCTATAAATGGCCACCATTTCCTGCAAAGAAAAAAATCCGGGAGAGGACAGCAAGAACAAAGAACAGAAAATAGAGAGAACACACAGTAGCAACCACAAACAGCAACGACGAACAACACAAAACAGAAAGAACTAATGGAGCAAACCACCAAGCAACAAACGAAAAAAAAAGGAAAAGAGACTCACCATAGCCTTCACCCACCGCCGTAGAACCAAGAGTTCGAAGGTAAAAAATGTAGATCTATGGGAATCTAAGGGGTTTTAGGGAAAACAAAGATCGAAATCGGCCTTAGGATGTTCTGATCTGTATTTTAGGTAAATTTAGGAATTTCCGACCACCGAAGGCGGTGACCAGCGGCGGAGTTAACGACAACATACGGTGGTCGTTGGCTGTCGGATTTCTCTCCGACGAGAGAAACATAGAGAGAAGCGGGAGAGGTTCTCTCGTTAGAGAGAGAACCAGAAGAGAAGAAATGAGAGGTTGGCCCTTCGGGCCAGCCGTTTGGGGTATTTAAATACCCCTTCCAAACGACGCCGTTTTGGGGGAGGGGTATATCTGTAATTTCTCGTGTGGGTAAACCATACCCGCTGTCACCACAGTTTTGTAACTTTTCATTTTGGTCACTAAAATCAAATCTTGAACCTTTTAATTCGGTCTTTCGATTTTATTTAGTTTATAATTTAGTCCTAGCCTGTATACTTATATATATTTAGGGTAAATACCGTATATAGTCCTTATAACTTTAATAACTTTTATTTTGACCTCTAATTAATTAATTAAGGATTAATTACATTAGTAACACCTAGGTTTCATAATATTTCAAACTAGAGCATTTAATCTTGATATGTCATAATTTAGTCACTAATTTTAATTATAAGTTTTATTACTTTTTATATTTAATTTTAATTTTAATTTTTTAATTTTATATGTTTAAATTATTATTTTCATAATTATTTTATTATTATCTTATTCATAAATATATACCTATATTCTTTTAAATAATAATGTTTATTTATTTTCAATATCAAAGAAAAGGGCAGTCTTAAAACAACTGGATGTCCTATTCTGGTATTTTAAATAATTAAACATTATAAAAATTATAATTTAGTTTTATTTAAATTATTAAAATTTTAATATTTATTTTTATTTATTAATATCGAAGAAAAGAGTTGTCTTAAGGTACCTAGAAGCCCTTTTCTGATATTTCTAAATAAATAAATATTTTTATAAATATATTTAAATTAATATATTTTCTTAAAAATTATAGTAATAAAATTTGAAATAATATAATTAAATATATCTTTGAATTTTTAAATTTCCAATAACAGAGACAATTTATAATTAAAAAGTACCAATTTTGGGCGTTGTAGGGGTATTAATCCTTCCCTAAACGTAACCGACCACGAATCTCTTTTTATTAATAAAAAGAATGAATTTTTAGTTATAAACGCAGATCAGTTCATCTTTTAACTGATGTTTTCTTTAAAACTCTTTTAAAATATGATTTTTTAGGTATTTGACCTACCTGACCCAAAAGGCCGATGACGACTCCCAAATTATTTATTATTCACATTATTTTTCCCGTCAAGTATAAAAAATTTCGTGCCCGGACGAAAACCGGTTACGAGAGGCTAAAAAGAAGATGAATTCACCAAATCCAGAAGTTAGGATTAGATATAAACTCGATAAGGTCAGATAGCTTCTCATTTTAACTATTGTTTACATTTTGGTTAACTTTTTGTGGACATGAGCTTTCTTAGTAGTCACTAGTACAAGGGAATGTTGTGATTGTGATGCCTAGCATGTGGAGACTTTTTTTTCCCATCTGAGTTTATTCGGTTATTCCTAAAAGCCATTAATTTGATTGTTATCTTTGTAAATGCATCAGGCCAAAAGAAAAGAAGCATGGCTGATTGAAAAACTGAGAAAATTCGAGATTCCCAAGGCCCCAGCTGAAGCATATGATCCTGAACTTTTAACTGAGGAAGAGAAACATTATCTAAAGCGTACTGGCGAGAAGAAAAAGAACTATGTTCAAGTTGGGAGACGAGGAGTATTCGGAGGTGATGTTCTCAATATGCACCTAAAGTATTCATATTAGAATAACATGAAGAATAATGTTCCATATTAAAAAAGCCTTGGAACAACACACATTTCAGTTCCCACAACTCTCAAACTGCATAAATGTTATGACTTGTCGAACTTAACTAAAATCGAAACCTCTTTCACCGAGTTTTATTCATGGAACAGTTGAAAAGTATTCATTACCATCATCTAGGTATTTGAATAACAATCAATAGTCCTCACAAGATCGGAAGATTAAGGGCAGTTTCATTCATTGGCAGTCCCCCCCCTGGTTGAGCACTCCCTTCATCTACATGATGGCATGATTAATGAATTTGATTTAAGCACCAAAAAAGAAAAAAGGAACGTTGATGCATAAGAACATTAACCACTTGGACTTTGCTATAACTCATACCTTCATTGTCTGATGGAGCACAAGGCCTTCCTATATCGTGTTTGTTGTTGTGTGGGCTGAAAACAGAGCAAAAATAATCATAAGCAGCATAAGAGCACTAAACAATAGTGTGAAAAGACATTAACTCACAGAATACGAAGATGGACTTAATATACGCTATCACCAGTACAATTCCAGAACACACATCGGGAAAAGAATGAACAGGAAGAAAAGGTAATCTACGAGTATTACCACATACCGTCCTCAAACCCTTTTATTTTTCTCTCTCCTAAAAGTGAAGGGTTTGAAATTACTAACTTCATTAGAACATTATTCTGGATATATCCTCTATAAGAAACCATAAATTTTCCTTTTATAAAAATCATCAGATAGAAAGTCGGCATAAAATGTAATTCGAGTCAATCTTTAGAAAAACAACAAATTGCATCATGTCATCCAGTACAAATCAAATATAATTAAGGTACTGGATGCATGTTAAATTTAGGTCATGTTGATGCAAATGCTAGATTAGAAGACTTCTTACATCATTTTTCCTTTCCCAACATAAATAACTTACAATCTAGTAAATTCAAAAATCCCAACAAAACCATTGTTTGTCACTTGTTTTAACATGATGTCGTGAGACCTATGCAGAACCAATAAAGAAAGCATTTTGCTCCAGTAGTTAAGGCCTAAGAGGATCTACATATTGCAAACTCTTTTGCTCCTACATACCTATAACAGTTCTAGTCACTTTGAAACAATTACGAGGCCTATGAGTGACCCAAATTGCTTTAAGCTTTCCTTGAACAAACCCATCTTCCAGCACTAGCCACTGGGTTTCTCTCCCTAATCAGAGGCATTCACTACAAATCTTAAAATGCATGCTTTTCGGAGTAATCTAGGGTATCCCCCCACATTGGACTGGGACTTTTCTTGCTCTAGTCATCATGTTTAGAAAGGCACGCCTAGGCGCTAAACCAAGACGAGACGAGGGTGAAGAGCCTAATTAGGTCTAGGCGAGGCGATTTCAATGAAGCGCAGCAAGGCACCGCCTTTTCATTTTTTTATTTTTTTCTCGTCTTTTTATTGTGTTTTACATACTAACTTATATATCAACAAAACAAAATAAGTAAAAATGACATGTCAGTGAAAAGTAAAACATGGTGGGGATGATTAGAAAGAGAGTTTCATGGGGGACGTAAGAAATTTGGCGTGAAACAGAAAAAGGGGGTGCTTTACCTTATATTACTGTTTGTCTTGAAGTTTGAAAGTGAGAGAAACAAAGGGGATGAATAAGGCCATTTTTGGAGTTAAAAAGACAACCGACTTAGCAGACAAATGAGAGAGAAGCATGCCATGCACGAATTGAGAATCGGGGGAGGAAAATATAGGTTCCATGAGTTTTGTTGCACAGTGATGGGTTTTTGAGCAACACGTTTAGCACATGGTGAAATTAGAATCCAGAAAAAGAAAGAAAAGCCTGGAAACACAATTTAGAAATACAAAAACGGAGGATTAGGATGGATAGAATGGGTTTAGGGTAGGTGGTGTTAACAAGGAGGAAGACACGTTTGTTAAGAGTGCGAGGTTGAGGGACAAGTAAGAAGTTGATGCCAACTCATTATTAGACTTTTATTTATTGTTTCAGTTTCTTATGTGGAATTGTGGACCAAGGAAGGGAGGGGTTTGCTGGGTTCAAGGTTTTGATGGAACAAAGGATGTTTAATACACAAAATGCTGATAATGCATACTCTTTGGTATTTATATTGCATGAATTGTTCTGTTTGTTTGATTTACAACTGGAAAAAATTGTATATCTTTATTTTTAAAAAGTGTGCCTCACTTCAATAAGGTGCGCGCCTTACGCCTGCACCTTGGCTATAAACCCCTATCGCCTTAGTGCGCCTTATGCCTTTTTTAACACTGCTAGTCATACCATGTTGGATACATGCTTGTATTCAACACTTACACACCGAGTCCGAGTAACATAACTTTGGACTAATCACAGGCAGGCCATTAGTCAATAACTTTGGCATAGAGTTAATACCTGCAATTTGGGACGGAGGGCTTGAAGTGGTCCTTTGGGTTGTCAACACTTTGCTGTTAGCTTCAAAAATCAAATGATATTGAAAACTTCAGTTTAATCTGGAATCCTTAGCATTGCCTACTAAATAACAAAAACACAAAAAGAAAAAGTGTAGATTCATAGGGGACAGTGGAATCATTGAAGTACCTTTCCAAGTGCCCAGTCAGCAGAATCAAAGTAGGCACGTTCATGGTCCTGATATCAAAAACGGAAACATAAATTAAAAATGGCACAATCAGTAAGCCATAACTTTTCAATTTTCCAAGAATTACCTTAGAGATGATGGTGGTCTCTTGGGCTAATCCCTCCATATTTTTTCTTTATAGCTGCCTAAAATAGTTATATAAGAAATAAGTAAATCATTGCAAATATAGAACTCTTCAGAAAAATGTAACCAGTACAGGGCTTAGATATTTGATCAATCAACTCAACATTCCACAATGGCAAGAAATAACAGAACCTCCTCTTCAGATGGAGGTGGCACGGGATTTCCAGTCTCCTGTGCAACATTTTCATCTACTTGTTTCTGCTCTTTGGCATCCTCCATGCCTGAATCAGCTACTTGTAAACCCAACCAATCGCAAACAAATAATCTACATAAAACTTCACTATGCTAAACTTACAGATTGCAGGCACCAGCATAAAAGAAGAATGACAAAAACACTTATTCAGTTATTCGCTTAAATAAATGAGGTTTCCAGTGCAGAATAAAAATGAAATCTTCATAAACCTGAGGAAAGCTTCATCCAGAGACTATGATGCAACACAGTTTCAAATCACGGCCCAAAAACATGATAGCACCCGCGAAATAGCGATTTCGCCGCCATCCGAGTTACCCGCTACACCCGCAATAAGCCCAATAGCGCCCGCGACTGCTGCTATAGCGCCCGCTCGGCCACAATCATGGTAAGCCCAAAATAACCGAAAATGGGACCGCGATTTGAAACCTGTAATGAAAGTAAATACAACTATAAGAGAATATCCATATCTACTTGATACTAATTATTAACATAACCAAAAAAAAAAGCAATGGGCAACTCCTAGTGCATGAGCACCGAATAATGATTAAAGTTCACCATAGAATTCATATTCAAAGGGGAAAACCCTTCAAATCCATAGAGAATACATATAGATTCTGATAACAAATACACAACAACAACAACAACAAAATCCAATTCCCATATGTATGGGGTAAGGGGAGGTAGGGTAGTAGGCTGCCCCCAACGCCAGGTTGGAGTAGCTTCCGTGAAAGACCTCCGACAGTCAGAAAATTAAATATAGATAATACAATGCATGTATAAATAAATACATAGCTAAACAGTATTCATATGCAGTCATTAAAATCATATGTGCGTTTGTAATGGGAATTAATCCCTGTAAAATAATCCCTGCGAAAGAATCTCTGCATATAGACAGAAACATAAGACCCAGCTAAATTTAAAAGAGGAAACATGAAGAGAATGATAAACAAACGTCAACGATATCAAACCCAGTTCCAATCCTTCATAAATACCAATAACAGGGGAAATTGAAAAAGACTGGGTACCTAAAATATTCTGCTCTCTGCGGAGATCGGAAATTCAAAGGGAAAATTTTGAAATTGGCGTTTGAAAAAGAATAAAAAAAGATGTGATAAGGGCACCTATATTTTTTGATACTTCTATTTTTGGCTATTTCTTTTAATTTACCCATTTAATTGTACCAATAATTTATCCTTTCAATAGTAATTAAATAAAGGGTAAATTATATCATATACCACTTAATTTAAGGTCCTGTATTGTTTACATAATTTTTTAATTACAGTACTAAATTTTGATTTTAACTTTAATTATGTCATTGAACTATTAAATTTTAACAACACGATGGCGTGGATAGATCGTTTCGTTATTTTGATGAAATGGGTAAAATGAAATCATTTTGGCGATAACTATTGAAGCCCAAAATAATGTTATTTTAGATGCTGAATTTTAGGGGTGTATCGATTTTGCCACTGAACTTTTAAACAAATCTATTTTTTACATTACATTTTTCAGACATCGTCGATAACCAAAAATCTCCTGTCATTGATCATCTTTTATGGCAATATCAATACAAAAATTTCACATTTCACTCCTCTTTCTTCTCTTAGAATTGATTTTCGACAAAACTCACTCAAAATCAACGGAAATCTATTTAAAAGTTCGACATGCTAATACTATAATCTCTTTTGATGATCATTCGATGAAACAATTTTGAGGAATAGTTTTTGTCTTATCGAAATAATGATTCTCACCATTGGGATTTTCGAGCAAACACACCAAATCCCTTTAATCTAAGAAAGCCCACAGAACCTAAAAATGGTTATTTATTTCATTTATTTTGAGCGAATTTCATGAAATTAAGCCTATGAGAATAAAGGGAATTGCAAACATTTTTGCACAGATCTTGTCATGAAGATCGATCGTTGACAGGTGGCGATTGATTGTTGACAATGGTCAGAAATACAATGTCAAAAATAGAATTGTTAAAAATTTAGTAATAAATCGATACACCCCTAAAAGTTCAATGCCTAAGA